ATATATTATATTATTTTATATGTTTGCGAAATGTTTACTCAATTTCGTGTGCTTAACGAAAATTGAATTAAATAAAAAGCAAATAAATACACATTGAATCATGATTTTTTACGCTATACTTTATTTATGTGTATTTATTGTATATATATAAATTTTCTAAAGAAAAATAAAATATTGTGTATCGAAAGGAGGAATAAGAAGTAAGTCCTCCTTTTATCGCCATCATCAGCATCAGTCTGATTTGCTGTGTATTGTTAGGGGTTCTGGTTTTGCTGATTAGAACTTTTTTTGGGAAATTTGATTTTTTTTAAGTTATTAATAGGGGAGTGCAGGGGTGTCCAACCTTTTTTTTTGTGCCACGGCCAACCTTGGTGGTACCTGGAATTTTATGAAATTTTTCGCGGAACACTAGTGTGTCGCGGCACATGGGTAGCTATTTAAACTTTAGATAATTCGGGTGTAGTCAGGGAGGGGGGGGGGGGTTTGAGTTTAAAAAATATTTTTTTAAAAAATAAAAAAATGCAATATTTTAACACCATAAAAAAAAGAAAATCTCCCGTGATAAATTCCCATTTCGCATAAAACCCCACTGCAAACACAAGCCAGAAATGAAAAGAATATAATTTCTTTTTTTGTTTGTTAGTAAAAGCAACATAAAACAGTAGCAACAGCATCAGCAGCAGCACGCAAAATAGAAGATTATTATTAATTTGATATGGGATTATTTGTTTGTTTTTAATTAAATTTTCATTCATTTGTATAATGTATACATACATATTTATCGCTCTGATCTATACTTGTGCCTTCTTTTTGCTACTTTGTTTGAATTTGAAAAGATACAGCGCCAGTCAGAGCTCTCGTATCTGTTTTCTATTTTTTGATATCGTTTGACAAACAACAAAAAAATAAGCAAGATGAAAATTATGTGTGTATGTATGAGGAAATGAGAGAAAAAGGATGAGGAGGTTGGAAAATGAAAATTCAATGTTTGAAAAGGACGAGTATTTAAGAGCTATTTTTCATCGTCATATTTATTAAAATGGAAAAAAAATAAAATAGAGAAGAAAATTATTTGCTGATGATGACGTTCATGATAAAAGAAGAAAAAGGGGAGCTGATGGATCTGGAATTTTCATTTCGTCTTGTCAAAAAGGGATGTCTTGCTAATTATCACTAATCTCTTTCTATGAAATTTAATATTCATAAGTTTCATTCTTTATTAGAATTTATATATCAACTCCCTTTGAAGGGTATCCATTTATTTAATCTAGTGCAGAAGCCTTAAATTAAAATTTTTCCTACATTTTATTTGTTTTCAAAGGAGGAAGTTCCACTGAGTTGTTTCATTTATGGGGAGAATTATTTTTCCTTTTTTTCTAATAATGTCTCTGGTGTGAAAGTAGCTTGAAAACGAGTATTAATAATTGAAAGGAAGAAAGTTTACACTTGCTAAGTGGCTCTCAAACTGTGTGCCATGGAATACTAGCAATGGGTTCAAAACTCAATAAACAGCCGAATTATTTTGATTATTTAAATTTTCGAATATTATATGTTAAACTAGGGGCCGTTCACTTATTACGTTCGCATTTTAGGGGGGAGGGGGGGTTTGAAAAAATGTAACATTGGGGGGGGGGGGGGGTTGAAGTATGTAACGTTTTAACTGATTTCTGTATTTAATTTTCTAAGTGTTACAGTTTAAAATGTGCCTTAAATGTGCGTGGTTCGAATCCCATAATAAACATTTGAGTTCCAATGTTTGAATGGGCTTTCCTGATGTTCCCTTATTTAGTAAACACTTAACATGACACTCAAGTATATTGATCCTTGAGAACTTTAAATCCTATTAATCAATAAGATTTGAACCTAGAACCGATGTGGTAAAATTGAACAGAAACTGCTATATTTATCCACTAAGTCACCTACCCAGTTCTATTTTAATTATGATTATTAACATACTTCATATATAAACCTCCATTAAGTTAAAAAACAATCCAAGAACAAGCCAACTTCAAACAAATCCCATTTAAACTCCACTTCTATTCAATTTCACTGTGAATTAAACACACAGGAAGAAGAAAGTATAAAAGGAAAAATATAAAATTCTATGTACTTTGAGGTGCTCACCTCCTCCTCTAATTAACAAGGAATTAAAGCAGGTAAAAACTATTATAAAATGGATGAAAAAAAATATGTTAAATAGGAAACCGAGCAGTAATAATGTCCCCATGTATTTATAAAGCAATTGCACAGTAGGAAAAAAGGGGTAGAAAATGAAAATTCACAACACCATTAATAAAACGGGAATGAAACCTTATGAAAATGTATTCACAATGTATGTATGTTCATAGATATATATCTTAATGAAACATAGCTCAGTCATCATATAGACAAATCATCACCACAATAAATTTCCATTCAAAATGCAATTAATTACCGATTATTGTATGCAATTAAAATTAATTTTTACCTCCTTCCCTTCGACTAGCTTGCAAGCCTTTCCAATACATTTATTTAAATTGTGAATTGCTGTTCTTGCACATTACACACAATATCATTTCTATGCAGTTCTCTGATATTTAAATTACTTACATTCTGCACTCTGTGTTCTACAATTACGTAAAGCGAGTGAGTGACTATTATGAAGATTAAAGAGACAAGCGGTTCCATTTAAAAAGGCATTGTATGATGTAGAATGGGATCAGAGGTGGAAACTTAGCTGGAATTATTGAGAAATTTTGAGGAACTTGTAGTTTATATGTTTTAGTAGAACAAGGTCGTGTGATATTAAAGAACTGCACTTTTATGAGTATTTAATGTGAAAATATACTTTAAGCTGCTTAAATCCAGGTTTCATTCATTTAATTTGTTTTGGATATTTATAATGAATATGTGTGCAACATATGTGCTGTGTTTTGGGTACGAATGAGGGTCTAAAATAGAGAAAGAGAGTTTTTTTTACAATAGAGGCTTAAGTAAAGGCTCTAAAACTTCCCCTTAAATAGGGGCTCTTAAATTTGACTTAAGAGAGACTCTCAGAGGGGAAAGGATACTAAGGATCAGAGTTATTTGAGGTATTTTCTGTATGGCATTGAGTCTTGCAGCACTATTTGTTAAAATTTATAAATCCTGAAGTACTGCAAAATTGTGATAGGGTACTAAGTTATACTTACATACTTACTTCTTGAGCTGTACAGATCAATTGTGATCCATGGCTTCTTTTAGATGCCGCCTGAAATTAGCTCTATCGCTAGCTATCACTTGCCAATTACCAATACCAAGTGTAATGCTGCCTCTGACAACAGCTTTTCTTCAAGAGTTCTTGGGACTAGGGAGCTAAAGAACTATCAGGCTAAATACAGATTTGAAAACACTTTCTTAATTTAAAGTAAGAAGTAAGACATGATATGACGTATAACCTAGAAATCACCCAATGAAGGCTGCTTTCAAGAAACTGAATTCCCTAATACTTTATAAAATTGGTCATTTTCTAGTTCGACTAGTTTTAAACTAGTTCATATTGATCTTATTCTGCTATGCAATTCAAAAGCACCAAGAACTCATGATCTCAAATATTTCTCAAAATTCCCTAATAAAATCCACACAGATTCCAATTCTGCAATAAGATAAATGGATGTATCAAAAGGAAAGAGGAAGAAAAGTCAAAAATCTAATTAGCATTAATGTGATTTGCAAGCGCATCGATGCGATAAAATCTAATGCGAAATGAAGAAAAAAAATATCCGATTTCCATGGAAATGTTAAAAGATTTTTATAGTTGCATTGAATATAATAATAAAATAAAAAAGCAGCTTTAATGACTTCTCATTCTCTCGTTCACTCTCCTTAATATTTTATTATTTCATTATTTTCCATCGTATCGAACATATATAGCATATATACATACTACATGCAATTATCAAGTCATTAATTAATATTCCATACATGTTCAATCTGTTTTATTCTCCTATTATATGACTGTATACATACATTGCAATTGCCATGCCAAAAATATATGTTTTTTTATGCTGTATTTAAATATTATATTATTATTTAAAATTTCAAGTGTATGCCTGATTGAGCACATTGTTTTATACAATTTAATAAATTAATTATGAATTGCAAATTAATAATATCAACTTTCATCAAAAAAAAAATGTTATTTATGTCTGCCTTGCCTGCCTGCCAGTCATACTTAAAATGCACTATCTCTCAGAGAGAATTTCCTCTCAGGACACGTCAAAGAGAGCCAAAAAAGTGCATAATAACCAAAACAGAGAGTCAAATTGTGAGCATAAATCCATCCCCACCACAAATCCTCTCCCAACATTTCTCTCACCAGATAAAAATTTTCGTGCTGCTCAATTTAGTTTTGAAAAAGACGTCAAACGTAAAAGACCTTCGAAAAAATTCGTGAGAGCAAATTAATAAATTTTTTTATTTCTTCTGTTTTAAATGTGCAACAAAAAATATTTTTTCATCGAAGGGTGATGAGAAAGAGAAGAAAAAGAAGAAACAGAACAGAAGAAACAGTAAAGAATTGATACTAAAATATTCAAGAAACTTTGTACATAGAAAAAATAAAATAAATTTTTTTGTGAATGGTTCGCGAACCAAAAATTTCAAAAATTTAAAACCAAGAACCAAGGTTCAAAAACCAAGATTTTTTAAAAAAAAATAATAAAAAATGAGAAAATAGAAAAATTGATAAAAAGTTTTCCTCGAAGTGAAAGAAAAAAATGAAAAGAAAAAGAAAAGTTTGAAGCAGATTGAAGTTATTACATGCTATATTTCATAGAATAAAAAAGAAGAAGATATCAGAAACTGCAGAATAAGGAATATTTAAAGATGGATAAATAACGAAAAGTGAAAAAATATTGAAAAAAATGAGTGAAAAACGAGCAAGAAAGTTTGAAAGAAAAATTTTTGTGAAGCATAAAAAATAAATTATTAAAAAAAAAAAAAGGATTTCAATATTTTGTGTATATTTTCATGTAAGAACCATGCAACCATCCAAAATTCTTCTCATTTTAACGACAATCGTGAGTGTAATAATCACAAACAGTAACAATAATGTCATAGCAAATCAGCTAAATGACTGTAAATGGGAATATAATCGCGTCACAAAGCACACAAAATGTTTTGTGCGGACGTTAGATCCAACCCATAATCCGGAGTTGTTGCAAGGCGCTCAGGGCTCCGGATCCGGTAAATTGGATATTGTGTGTGATCAATCGATATTATTAGAAAGTCAATTACCAAAAGATCTGTTTCGTGACATAACGAGTGTAAATGAATTAACATTAGACTCATGTAAAATATTAAAAATACCAGAACATTCATTTAATGGACTTTATGGACTGAAAAAATTGACTATTAGTACGAAAAATTCAGAATGGGGTGTTATAAAGTCACTGGAATTAAACGAAAATGCAATGAATGGATTGAAGCAATTGACAACATTAGAGCTCACCGATTCAAATATTCGAGTGATACCGGATGGATTTTATTGTCCATTAAATAATTTACAAGTGCTTAATTTAACGCACAATCGAATCCGATCGACGGAAAATCTAGGTTTCCTATCGGGTGATGAGTGCAGTAATGGAAATAGTGCATTAAAAGAAATTCATACACTCGACTTAAGTTGGAATGAGTTACGTGTCATACCAGACAATTGGGCCGTATCAAAACTTAGACGGCTATCGCATCTGAATCTACAGCATAATAATATAAGTGAATTAAGTAGTGAAACGTTAAGCGGTTTATTAGCATTGAGGACATTAAATATAAGTTATAATCACATAGATCAAATTCCAAATGAAATGTTTCATAATTCAAAAGAGCTACGCGAGATTCATCTACAAAATAATGAATTATATGAGCTACCGCCTGGTTTATTTCATCAACTTGCTCAGCTTCTTATACTTGATTTATCACAGAATCAATTTACAAGTCATTACATAAATAGTGAAACATTTGCTAAATTAATACGTTTAAGGATCTTAAATTTATCCCATAACGCTCTCACCCGTATTGATTCAAAGACATTTAATGATTTACACATCCTACAAGTGCTAAATTTAAGAAATAATTCAATCGGATATATCGATGAGAATGCATTCGGATCATTATACAATTTATATGAATTAAATTTAGCTGAGAATCGCTTACATACGCTGAGCGATAAATTATTTGATGGACTCAAAGTGCTTACAAAATTGACATTAAACAATAATCTCATTAGTGTAGTGGAGCCGAGTGTGTTCGAAAAGTGTCCAAACTTAAGAGAATTAGATTTGAGTTCAAATCAATTGCAGGATGTGCCTGATGCACTCAAACTCTTGTCTGATTTACGTACATTAGATTTGGGTGAGAATCAAATTACGAAATTTCGTCCTGGCTGCTTCAAAAATCTAATTCAATTAAATGGTTTGCGATTGATTGATAATCAAATTGAGAATATAACAAAGGGAATGTTTGATGACTTGCCACAACTGAGCGTATTGAATATGGCAAAGAATCGTATTCAATCTGTCGAAAGAGGCTCGTTCGATACAAACAAACAAATTGAAGCGATTCGTTTAGATGGAAACTTTGTTTCGGATATAAATGGAGTTTTCTCACAATTATCATCTCTTTTGTGGCTCAACATGGCTGAGAATCATCTCGTTTGGTTTGACTATGCATTTGTACCGAAAAATTTAAAGTGGCTCGACATACACGGCAACTATATTGAAACACTTGGCAACTATTATAAATTGCAGGAAGAGATACGCATAAAGACACTCGATGCCAGTCACAATCGTATCACGGAAGTTGGACCAATGAATGTGCCAAATAGTGTTGAATTGCTGTTCATCAATAATAATCATATAACCAAAATTCATGCCAATACATTTATTGATAAAGTGAATTTGACACGAGTCGATATGTACGCAAATGCACTACGCAAACTGCAAATGCATCAGTTACGAATAGCACCGTCAAAAGCGAGTAGTGAGACGCAAGTACTTCCCGAATTTTATCTTGGTGGTAATCCATTCGAATGTGACTGCTCAATGGAATGGCTTCAACGTATTAACAACTTTACGTCACGTCAACATCCGAAAATTATGGATTTGCAAGTTATTGAATGTGTGATGCCGCACAAACGTGGTCTACCTATACGACCGGTCGAGACACTTGACATCTCTGAATTTGTATGTCCTTATCAAAGTCATTGTTTTGCTTTATGTAATTGTTGCGATAAGAGTGACTGCGAGTGCGATATGACATGCCCACAAAATTGTTCATGCTATCACGATCAGGCATGGGCATCAAATATGGTCGATTGTGGCAATCACAATAGTCAATTTCTACCACGACTCATACCAGCTGATGTGACCGAAATGTATTTAGATGGAAACAATTATCCGGAATTGGATGTTGCTCAATTTCGACAGCACAGCAAATTGCGACAGTTGTACTTAAATGCAAGTAAAATTGAAATAATTCGTAATCGAACGTTCTTTGGACTGTCAACATTACAAACATTACATTTAAATGATAATAAATTACAAAAGCTATACGGATACGAGTTTGAACAATTAATTAGACTAAAGGAATTGAATTTGCATAATAATCAATTGTCGTACATAGGAAACCAAACCTTTATACATTTAAGATCGCTGCAAATTTTACGCATCGATGGTAATCAATTAACGAATGCATGGCTATGGCAATTGTTGCCATCATTGTCCAATAATGGAATGGAACAGAAATTACAGAAACTTACAATGGGACGCAATCCATGGAGTTGTCGTTGTCGATTCTTACAGGAAATGACACAATTCGTTGCAGATAATGCCGTGATTATACAAGATGCTCAAGATATTTATTGTGTTGATGAAAATGCACAGCGTGAGTTAGACTTCAATTCAACATCGGTGTGTAGTGACTTTTATTTGAGCTCATCAAGCTCTGGAATAGCACAATTTATTCTATTCAATGAATACATACCGCTTTTGATCACACTATTGACGACAATTTGCTTGCTGATTATCTTCATCATTCTATTCATCTTTCGAGAACCATTGAAATTATGGTTCTTCTCACACTATGGCTTCTTTGGTCCGCCGTGTGACGATCCAGAGAAATTATACGATGCCGTGATCTTTCACTCGCCAAAAGATATTGAATATGTCGTTAAGCATATCGCAAATGAATTTGAATGCGGTCGCCCACCAAATTTACGTTTATGCTTACAATATCGTGATTTAAATGAAGATGCGAGTTACATTCAACTGTATGAGACTGCTTGCGCTTCACGTAAAATTGTCATATTGTTGACACGAAACTTTTTACAGACTGAGTGGGCACGATTTGACTTAAGACGTGCCGTGCATGAGGCATTGCGTGGTAGACAATATAAGTTGATAGTAATTGAAGATCCCGATGCGATTCATGATGCTGAAAATGATATTGAATTAATGCCATATTTAAAAGCATCTGGAGTTATTCGGATACGAAGAAATGATCGAAATTTCATTGATAAAATGAAATATGCAATGCCAATGGAGGTTGCATACCGCGGTGGTGGAAATAATTATACACTCGAGCATCAACATCATATGACAATGCCGGCTTACATGTCACAACATCATGTACCGATGACACAGCCACGAAATTCAAAAACATCATATCCTAATTGCACGGCAACGATGAATGGCGTTATAATGTATCATAATCAACGACAAGCACCGCCACCTGCCTACTGTCCCGAATTGGACGAAACAAATTATTCGTCAGCCACAACGGCATCGCCTAGTCCACATCCATCGAGGCAAAATATTTTAACATCTGACGTTCCTCAAGCGTCTGTCTCGCAACCGCAACAGCAAAATCTAGTAAGTAAACAGAATAACAATCAACAACAGCAGCAGCAACATTCAAATCAGCGACCCTTATCAGAACATATTTATTCAAGTATCGATTCCGATTATAGTACATTAGACTGTGAGAATCAACTGCTTCAACCACAAGTGCAAACACCACAACATCAATATCAATCAAGTAGTGATTCGACAACAGCTCTTCATCGACCAAATGTTTTGAATACGGCAACATGGCGAACTGTTAATGGAAGCATTCCAAATGGACAGCAGCCTCATGTTCAAGCTTATCTAGTGTAAAAATATAATAAGAAATCTCAATAATGATGGACTAATGTGAAGTTAGACTAATTTAAAAAATATGAAATTGAGGAGTTACTAATATCATAAGAAAGAATCTCAAGCTTGATGGTAAATTGACTTTTAATTTAAAATTATGGAACTTGCAGATGATAATTTTCTGCAATAAAAAAGTGATAATAGTAATTAAATTGAATGATTTTTGTATAAAAAAAGATGAAATTGTAAAATGTTGAAAATATTTTTTTTCCTTTCGTCGCTCGACATTTTTTTCTATTTTCTTTCTTCTTTCGAATTGCGTTGCTGAAATGATGATGAAAAAAAAATTACTTAAATGGAAATCACAATAATAATAATGGTAGAAGAACTATAGAGAATGAGAGAAATGCTTTTGTTGCAAAAAATAATTGTTTAAGCCGATTATGCCTTTTTTTCTACTCTCTTTTTCAACTTCTTTTTAGAAAGAAAGTGTAATAACGAAATTATTTCATTGACTGAGATCTCATTTTACTTTTTTTGTATTATTATTTCAAGTGGACGAACATGAGAATGAAGAATGAGCTGAAAAATGGTTTTGTTTAAGTGGATTTGAGTGATTTTAGCGCAATTTTGAAGGCAATTGTTGGTTAATTGTTGCTTTGTTAATGTTTTATGAACATAATTCATTTAATTTAAGTTGCAAAAATCAATAACTTACAGCCAAATTGAAAAACATTAATTATTTTGTCCATATTGTGAAGATAAACGGATGTCAGATTTTGTGTTCCACCTCAAAAAGTTTTTTGCAATTTAAACAGCTTTAATCGATGAAATTCCATTTGATTTGCATTGAGTCTTACGTAAAAAGTTGGCACAAATCAGAATCAAATGATAAAAGTTTAGCAACCAAACAAAAATCCACAAAACAATGCCATAACAAATTTTCATAACCAAATTAATTATGCAAAAGTACGCTAATCCAAATTCCCAAAACCACAAAATGAGAACTTATAAGTTGTAATATAATTTCTGCTTAGTAATTATTAAACTACATACAGGAAAAGAAATTATAATTCCAAATAGTTCAGATACAGCTGGAGAGAACACTTCAAGTACTATAGTTAGTAACAAACCTACTTTTAACCTTGTATTATTATTATCTAATTTAACATCAGCAGCAGCAGCAGCAAAACTAAAACTATATATTGTAATAATAATGACTAGAAATAGAAAAATATGTAACAAGCAACAGCACAAAAAAAAGCGCGAGTGAGAGAAACAAGAGCAACAAGCGCAGTGGCGGCAATGAAAAGATTTTTGTGTGTATACATTTGTTTGATGAAATGTTAAAGCGAAACATGATCATAAATAATGATAACATGAAAAAAGACACATATGTACATACATAAATAAATTTATTTGCTCTAAAAAAAACAAATCTCATGATAGGTTTTGCAAATGATCTTATTTTTCATTCATATATTCAGACTATATGTGAACAGACAGATAGAAAATAATGATACAACAAAATCAAGGCAAAAAAATGAGAAAAATGGATTTAAATTGTGACGCGTTGATGAAGAAGAAAATAGAAAAAAATTTATCAAACAAAAATGAAATGCGAGAAATTTACAAAACTTTTTTTTGTTTGTTTCTTTCTTGCTGCTGCGTTTTATAAGTTTCTCATACATATATCTCCTCCTATTTATCTATGTTAAATAAGTGCTGAATGCGAGAAACTCAAAGAATTTCATCTTTGTATATGCGGTTGATGTGGAATAGAGAGGAATCGTGCATAACCATTGCCATTATTTATAATAAATGAATGAACTTAAAATCCCTCATCGTGGTCACAACCGTAATAACTTCCAACTTTTTGTCGATTTTTTTCTCCTTTTCTATATCTCAATACTCTCAATACGTACATACATTTATATCCAGCTCTATATTCGATCGTAGACGGAAACTCATGAATCATTAAAATGCATATTAATACATTAAACATTGAACGTTTTTCTGGCTGATTTTGAGGATGAAAAATGTTATGTATTTGGATCCAGAATTTGCTAGTGAATGGGAACTTATGAATTAATTATGATTGGGATTTTTGTTGGAACATGCTTGTGGAGTCGTGCTACATTTAACGACTTTTAAAGATTTTAGAAGCTCATCCACCCCAAAACAACAACTTTTGGAGTATCATTCAACTGCAGACCACCCATATTCCCCAAAAAACAGACATCACAGACAAACGAATCCAAAAATTAGCAAACAAATTGTCAAACTAAAAAGCTCTTATCAAAAATTGAAAAGACTGTCAAAATGTAAAAGACTCTAGAGTAAAAACAAAAAAAAATATAACTTAAAAGAAATCAAAATAGAAATTTATTCATAGTATGACAACTTTATTTAAATTCTGATACCATATGCTTAGAATTGCTAATTTTCAAGTAAGAATATCAAATGAAAATGAATAAAAATTCAGAATTTACTAGCTTATCTATGTCTCAAGTCGCAAACAAAATACTAAATGTTGAATTTTGTGTACTATTAGCATGGAGAATTTTAAGTAGGAGAAATAAGAAGTCATGAAGATTAACCAAGTATTAATTAGATTTGGGGTATAGAATTTCTGGAGTTACTTGAAACCAGAAAATTAGGAGAGTCTAGTCACTAGCTGACTGTAATCTAGTACTCAAATTCTTTGCTCCTTTAATACTTTTAAGAAACTGCTATTTTTAATTGATTTAGTACTTCTGGTGATCTAGTACTTCTATTGATCTAGTACTTCTAATGATCTAGTACTTCTAGTGATCTAGTACTTATAATGATATAGTTTTCTAATGATCTAGTACTTCTGGTGATCTAATTATTTCAGTGATCTAGTACTTATATTTATCTAGTACTTCTAGTGATCTAGTACTTATAATGATATAGTTTTCTAATGATCTAGTACTTCTGGTGATCTAATTATTTCAGTGATCTAGTACTTATATTGATCTAATAATTCACTTGATCTAGTACTTCTAGTAATCCAGTACTTCTAATGATCTAGTACTCAAGATTGCATCTAGTACTTCTAGGACTAATTCAAATCTAGGACCATGCTCCTGTATAACTAAGAATGTAGAAAGAGAAAATCTCTGTTTGTAACCATGCAACTAGTTTCACAACATAATCTGCATACTTGTCAGCAAAACTTGCAGTAAAAATATTAAAACTACAATTTTTAATAAATATTTTATTCATTTTATGCAAAAAAGAAATTCCAAACGCTTCAGTTCACTAAATCCCCATGAAAACTATAACAATCGATGGATATAGTCATTGGATCCAAATATTTTTCATCCTCTCCATTCAACTAAGAAAAAAACATGAAAAAAATTTTGTACATAAAATGATAAAAAAACTGAAAAAATAATAATCAATACATGATGATGTAGTGGCAATGTTCTTCTTGTATATTTTATACATATAAAAAAAAAGTCTATATAATATATAAAAATACATCAACAATATATTGATATTTATTTTAAAATAAAAAAAGTAATAATAATAATGATAATAAAAAGAATAAAATTTCCATGTGTATAAATGAGAAATCAATGCAAAAAAAGTGAACAAAACTTTATGAATGAGAAATAAAAAATGAAAAAGAAAAAAATTGTTTAGAAAAAAAAATAATGCTGAATGCCATTGAAAAAAGTATATATTTGCTCAAATGCCTTTTTAATTTATTCAACTATGTTGCAGAAAAATTGAAAAACATTTGGTGATTATTGGGAAAAAATAAGTTTTAATATTGATTTTCAGCTTTCGCCCCTTGAGATTGGTTTTGTGCTGATTTTTTTCAGGTGCTGTGACTTTATTTTTAACTTTCAGGTTATTTTTTAAGGTTTGCAATTTTTTTTTATTTTTTTAAAAATATTTTAATTTTAATTTTGCAAGTTAAAATCTTTTAAAATTTTATTTTAATTTTTTTTTCAAAATTTAATTTTAAATTTGTTATTTTTTATATTTTATTTTAGATTTTTTTTTTATTTTGTTTTTTAAATTTATTTTTTTTGAAATTTCAATTTTTTAAATGTTGTTTCAATTTTTTAAATTTTATTTTAATTTTTTAAGTTTTATTTCAATTTTATAAATATATTTTCAAATTTTTTTGATTAATTTGAAGTATCAAGTTCTTAAATTTTATTTCAATTTTTTTTTCAATTTTTAAAATTCTTCAAATCAATTCCCACAATCCAACCTAAGGATTCAATTCTCTTTCTGCATTTCAGCTTTGATATTTTCTGTTCATTTGATTTTCATTTTTTCAGTGCACATTGGACACAGAAACAAAACAATTGGAGAAGATTGGAATGAGAGAAGAAGAGAATAGAAATAACAGAAAATGAAATGAACACAAAAAAAATTGAAATTTATGTCTGTAGGAGAGTTTTTTTTTATTTTTTGAATGCATAATCGATCATCAATTGAAGCGTAACAGTGAGCGTGAAACAAAAAACACTTTTTAATTAAACATTCCTATGCCATGAGAGCTCTACATATATATAAAATTTAGAATTCATTTCATTCTATGCTTATGAACGTGTACGTATCAACATATGAATAGTTAACGAGCCATCATACGAAATGAGAAAGAATCATTCATTCATTTATTCATTGTTGTTATGTTCTATCTATCTATATACTCTATTTGGTGTATATTTTCATTATTATAGAACGATCCGTAATCAATCAGTGTGAAAAATGTGATCTAATGAGGAAAAGCATCATCCATCAAAGATTTAACAGTGTGTGGAAATTGAAGACAGTTAGCCAGGTCATGCTGATTGCTTTTATTGGTTTTTTATCGACTTTTGGATTTTATTGAGTTTCCTGTTACGATTTATCATGATTTTTAATGAGATATCTTCAAACCTTAATTTAACGGACCTCTTGAATTTGAATATTTCCCGCCAAAAATAAAATTTATCAAACTTTGAAATCACATCAAATCGATCCACGCAGTCTGG